ACATGATTTATTTATAGAAAACCCTAATGCCTCCACCAAAAAAAGCTATTAGAAATAGTAAATGAATAAAGTTGCAGGGTACAAAATTCATATGCAAAATCTCCTGAGTTTCTACACCTTATCAACAGACAAGCAGAAAAAGAAATTAAAAAGAAAATAATCCTATTTATAATCACAACAGAAAGAATACCTAGGGATAAATTTAACTAAGGAAGTGAATGACCAGTTTGCTAAAATCTATGACACTGTTGAAAGAAACTTAACAAAACACAAAGAAATGGAAAGACATTCCATGGCTGTGGATTACAATTAACATTACTAAAATGTCCATATTACCAAATCAATCTACTGATTCAGTGCAATCCCTATCAAAATCCTGATGACATCTGTCACAGAAATAAAACAAAACATCCTAAAATCTATGTGCATCCTGGGCTTCCCTGGTGGCTCAGATGGTAAAGAATCTGCCTACAATACAGGAGACCCAGGTTCAATCCCAGGGTTGGGAAGATTCTCAGAGAAGGCTATGGCTACCCACACCAGTATTCTTGCCTGGAGAATTCTATGGAGAGAAGTCTGGTTGGCTACAGCCCATGGGGTCACAAAGAGTCAGACACAAACAAGAAACTAACACTTTCACTTTTCACTTAAATAGCAAAATAAATTCTGAGGAAAAAGAACAAAGTGAAAGTATCCCCCTCCCTGATTTCAAAGCATACCACAAAAAAAAAAACCCAAAATCAAAGCATACCACAAAGCTACAGCATCAGAAACATCACAGCATTGGCAGAAAGACAGATACATAGAACAATGAAACAGAATTGAGGGCACAAAAATAACCTCATGCACATATGGACAATTAATTTATGATAAAAGAGCAAAGAACATACTATGGAGAAAGGTAGTCTCCTCAAAAAATGGCATTAGGAAAACAGGACAATCCACATGTGGGAAAAAAAAGGGAAATTAGACCACTAACCAATAGCAGACACAAAATTCAACTTAAAATGGATCAAATCCTGGAGTATAAGACCTGAAATTATAAAACCCCTAGAAGAAAACATAGGCAGTATGCTCTTTGACATTGGTCTTAGCAATATCTTTCTCCTCAGGCAAGGAAAACAGAAGCAAAAATAAACAAATGGGACTACATCAAACTAAAAAGCTTCTGTACAGTAAAGGAAATCATCAGCAAAATGAAAGGACAACTTACCAAATGGGACAAGTCATTTGCAAATATATGATATGGGGTTAATATGTAAAATATATAAAGAACTCATATAACTCAGCAACAACAAAATAAACAATCTGATTTTTTTAAAAAATTGGCAGAGGATCTGAACAGACGTTTTTCTAAAGAAGACATACAGATAGCCAACAGGCACATGAAAAGAAGTTCAACATCACTAATTATTAGGGAAGTGCAAATCAAAACCCCAATATATCACCTCACACCCATAAGAATGGCTAGTATCAAAGGCAGGAAACAAGTGTTGGAAAGGATATAGAGAAAAGTGAACCCTTGTGCACTGCTGAGTGGAATGTAATTTGATGCATCCACTATGGAAAACAGTATGGAGATACCTCAAAAAGTTAAGAAAGAAATACTATATAATCCAGCTATTCTACTTTTGGGTATTCATATGAAGAATGCAAAAATAATACTTTGAAAAGATACACACCACCCCTATGTATGTTGCAGATTTATTTACAATAGCCTAGGCATAGAAACAACCCAACTGCTCATTGACTGATGGATAAAGAATAGAATACACACACACACACACACACACACACAAATACACACACAATACATATATATACAACAGGATACTACTCAGCCATAAAAAGGCAAAATCTTACCATTAGTGACAACATGGATGGATATTAAGGGTTTTGTGCTAAGTGAAATAAGTCAGATGGAGAAAGACAAATATGATTTCACTCATATGCGGAATAAGAAAAAAAACAAACAAAAAAGATAAACACAAAGATACAGAGAACAGGGTAGTAGGAGACGGTAAGCACATATATAGGCCCATTGCAACAGGCTCTGATATAGCTCATCACAGCACTGGTTAGAACCTTACATTGTTGATGAAAAGGGTCAGGAAAAAGGACAGAGCTGTTTCTTGAAGGAAGTAGATAGAGGGATTGGGCTGGGAAGTCAATCTCTGCCTGCGGAGAGAAAGGGAGAAGCAGTGCTTCTACCCTACAAGAGGGTCAGGCTCAATCTGGCACTACCTATAACAAATTAAATACATACATTCCCTTCAACCCACATATCCCCTTCCTTAGAATCTATTCTGTAGACTTTTATGGAATAAAGTGATTTAACTGACTGCTTCTTGGAACCTGAATGGGAAAATGGATGTTCAGGGAGTCTCACCTGGGTGAAGATGACACTAAGGGAGGAGAGAAAGGCTGTGCCTTGAATGCCCCAATTCATTGTTTCTTATTTTTAATTTTTAACTGTAACTTTTAACCCATTTGTGCATACATTTAAGAACTGTATTTAAGTGCATTAAAGGATCTAAGCTCTTTAGGTAAATTATTGTTTGTTTATCTGAGTTTGAATAAACTCTAGGAGTTGGTGATGGACAGGGAGGCCTGGCATGCTGCAGTCCATGGGGTCGCAAAATCAGACACGACTGAGTGACTGAACTGAACTATCTGAAATTCAAATTAAAAAGTACTTTGGGATTGATATAAACAAAAATGCAATATACCAAAATTTATGGGATACAGAGAAAGAACTGCTAAAAAGGAAATTTATAACTGTAAATGTATTCATTAAAAAAGAACCACTTAATCTTACACCTTATAAAGCTAAAAATGGAGGGCAAATTAAACCCAAAGTTAGCATAAGGGAAGAAATAATAAAGATTAAAACAGAGATAAATCAAATAGAGATTATAAAATAGATAAAATCAACAAAACTAAAGTTGGTTCTTTGAAAAGATTAATAAATTCAATAAAATATTAAGTTAAACTGATTAAAAACAATGACAGGGTGTTCATTTTGGCAGCATATATAATACAATTAGAATGATACAGGGGTTAGCATGACAGGTGTAAAATAATAGCATGCAAATTTGTGAATCATTACTTATTTTGCTATGATTGTAGAGCTTTAATGTTCTCGCCATAACAGCAAACAGCAAAATGGTAACTGTATGAGTAGAGGATGTGCTAACTGATCTTGTTGTGGTGAGCATTTCATAGTATTTACATGTATCAGATCATTACATTATATACCTTAAACTTACACCATGTTATAAGTCAATTATATCACAATAAAACTGGAAAAATGCCCCTCAAACTCCCAAAAGTAACCGATATACATCATTTAATATGTATTATCCAGTTTATGTACAAGATGCTTTTGACATTAAACAAAGGTATTTTGGCCTCAAAAAATAAAAGAGGAAAGTCTCAAATTACTAAAATCATAAATTAAGTTAGGGATGTTACTACTGAAGTTATAGCAATAAAGAAAAATACTAGAGAAAGTCATGAACAATTGCATGCCCACAAATTAGATGAAATGGAAAAAATTTTAGAAACACACAAACTTCCAAAAATGACTCAAGAAATTAAAAAATTTGAACAGACCTATAACAGTTTCTGATTCAGTAATCAAAAAATTCCCAACAAAGAAAAATTCAGGAACAGATGGCTTCACTGGTGACTTCTACTAAACATTGAAGAATTAACAATAATCCTTTTCAAACTATTCCAAATGTTAAAGAGAATGGAACACTCTCAGCTCATTTTATGTGGTCACTATAACCTTGATATCAAAGACAGACCAGGACATTATAAGAAAACAAAACTGTAGATTAATATGCTTTATGAATATAGATGCAAAAATCCTCAACAATATACTAGGAAACCAAATGCAGCAGCATATTAAGAGGATTATAGACCATGACCAAGTGGGATTCACCCTAGGAAAGCATGGCTGGTTCAACATCTGAAAATCAGTGCTACACACCACATTAACAAAATTAATGAGAGGGAGTTCTCTGGCCTAATGCCCCGGATTCTGAGCTTTCACTACCATGGCCTGGGTTCAATCCCTGGTCAGGGAACAGAGATCCCTCAAGCCATGTAGTGTGGCCAAACAAAAACAAACAAAAAATAAAATTAAGGAGAAAATAATACATAATCATCTGCATCTAAACGTGATTCAGAAAAAAAACATTTGATATAATCTAAAACAGTTTCATCATAAAAGCACTCAGCAAACTAGGAACAGAATGGAATGTCCTAAACATGATAAAGGTCATTTGTAAAACAAAACAAAACTATAACATACTCAATGGAGAAAGACTGAAAAATTTCCTCCTAAGATAAGGAACAGTATAAGGATGCTCGCTTTCACTACTTCTATTCAGCATTGAAGTTCTACATAAGGCATTAGGCAAGAAAATAAAAGGCATCCAAATTGGAAAGGAATAATTAAAACAATATCTATTCAGAAATAACATGATCTTACATATATAAAATCCTACAGAATATACAAAATAAACCATTAGATTTAATAAATGCATTCAGTTCTGTCTTGTACTCATTGAATTGTGGTCAGTGAGCATGGCACCCTGTACTTAACACTTTGTGGAGAAAGTAGAACAAACTATATCAGCACATTCTCTTTCTCTGTTTTTCCTTCTCTTTGTTGGGGAAAAGGATAAGAAAGAAGAGAAATACGTAAGGAAAGACTAAAAGCAATGAAACAACCTACATCTTGACTGGTTGTACTACTATAAATAAACTATTGTTTCTTGTTTATTTCCCTAAGCAAGTAACTACAAAGCCATGAAAACCAATGGGAGTGTGGTCTTGCTTTCAGAGGCAGCAAGGAATGGGTAATCTGGGAGAGAATGTCCTACTCCATAGCTTGGGTTATGGAGATGATGTCAGCTATACAAGGAGAGGCAAAGAAGCTGAGGCCTTGGGGCTTGCTCTAAGAAAGGATGAACAGCTTAGGAACTTACTGAATGTTGTACGGCACAGTACTAGGATTGAGTACCCCATACACAGTGAAGCCTTTATAAAGAGGGTTCCTGAAGTCTGGTTTCCTCTGAACCAAGAAAGGCCACACTGAATGTGTTTTCTCATATATTCTGTAAGAAAAGAAAAACAAGCCAAAAAATTAAAAGCAGCAAGTAACATCAATAGATCTGCTGAACTTGACAATCATCTAAATTCTATTAACAAGTAACCTAACTTAAGACAGAGGGCTAGGATGTGATATAAGGAAAACGAAAATAAATTGTAATGAAGAATGATAGTGTAACAAATTATCTGGGCTTCAACTTATCCATTTTTAAAGAGATTAGAAAGAATTCCACATTGAAGAGAAACATGCTAAGTATATATGTAGAGATACTTTCTCTGCCACAGAGTAGTGATGTAATCTTAGTGATGTCCCTAGCCCTTTCTGGGCCTACTTTCTCATTTGTATAATGTGATCTTTAAGGTCTCTTCCAAATCTTGGATTCTACGAATAACCTTTCCAGTTTTTAAAAAATCTAGAATTACTTTTAAAAAATCTGGTAAATTAACAGACAAGAGGTAAATTTCTGGCTTTTCTATATTTTATTTCAAGCCAGCTTCTCCTCCACTCAGAAGGTATAAGACAGTGAAAGACAATTTAGCAATTTATATTAGCAAATATTTGTGAGTTATCCTAGGTGAACAGCACTGACTGTGATATTTATATTAAAAGACTGATTCTTCTTATCCCTTAGCTGAGTCCCTGGGAAGCGACTTAGTTAACACAAAAAAGCATGGAATTCATCGTCCCCAGTGAAAGCTGCTGTGTATCCACGCATGGGAAGTTCATTTGTTCATACAGTGTCAAAGAAAGCTCTAGGAGGACAACAAAGAGAAGTGATATGGGGTATATGACTTAAAATTGTAGTCTTGTAACTTTTAGAATTCTCAGACCATTTCAATGAGGCCAAAGGAACTGTATATGCATCTTTCTCATTTGTTGTTGGTTGTAAAAAGAAAAAAAATCTTGCAGAGGTAAGGTAAGTAGTATTTGTTGAGTATTTACTATGTGTCAAACAGTGTTCCAGACTCTACTTAAAATACCCTATTAAATTATATAATAAAACCTTGTGAGTTATTTTATTCCCAAAATAATAATGAGAAAATGAGACAAAAATTAATTTGCAAAAAGTCACACAGCTAGTAGGTGACAGAGCCAAAATCTGAACCCAGGTCTCTCTGATCCTAGAGTCCATGTCTTTTCTTTCATGGATGAATGATATCTCTGCTTGTTTTATATAACCACTATTAAAGCATATGTTAAAATTTTCAACTTTCATACTTTTACATGGAGATTCAGATTTGTGTGAGGAGTGGATTGAGGATATATTAGCCTCATTTTAAGAGGGTGGAGAAAAAGTATATGGAAAAGATCTCTGATTTTAGTGCTAGAAAAGCCGGTCAGAGACAGAACAAATGTGTTTATAAGCATTTGGGAAGAGGGTAAGAAAGTTCTCGTTGCAAAATGAAATAGAAATGTGCACAGAAGCTACTAAGTAACTACAGATTTTGAAGCAGGAAGATTCACCACTGTTCTCAGTGTTGACAAGAAAACAGAATTAGAGATATCATCTGACTTATCCAGGATATATAATATCAGGGCCTGAGAACTTGAGCTAATTGCTACTCAGCTAACAACTATGAAACAAGAATGGATTGTGAGATAGTCACTTCCCTTCTCTATTCTTTTTCTCTGACTCTAAAACAAGGAGAATGCTATTCCCAGAAACTCTGTCTTGTCAACTTCAAAAGTTATTTACATTTTATACATTGCAAGGATGTTAGAGTTTATGTCTGGTACCAATTCAAGTGCCTATAGGAGCTGGGGAAGTAACATATGAAGTGAGCTGAGAATAAACTACAGAGTGTAGTGGGAATTGTGGCAAACAAGAGTGAGCTTGCTTCATTCAAATGGAGCAAGCTATTATTCAGCTCCAGATGATTATTGCCATTAGAAAATGCAGGTCTAGTACTGCCAGAGTTCCTGATTTTGCAGAATATCTTGCCACAATGGCTTTTTGATTGAGGAAAAAATCCTATAACAACTGGATTTTTATATGAAATATTAAGATATTTAAATGCTGACTACTAATTAATAGTTTAAAAAATACTCTACAGATGAAACAGAATATGCCTGTTAAGCCAGACTTGGCCTATGACCTGCTATTTAGTGATCTTAGACACAAATGATAAAGGACAGTAGCTAATGACTACTCACACACTCATTCCTTATAAAATCTTTGCACATCCATTGCTTTATTGGTTCCTCATGATAGATCTGAAAAATAGGTATTATTATCCCTATTTCACAGATAAAGAATCTAAGGTTTTGAGGACTACCCATAAAATTCCAAGTGTTTTATGCTTCAAAAATTATTTTTATAGTTGTCCTCTCCTCCCCTTTTGTGAACTGCTGTCCCAAATTCAGGGTGACTGGTAAATTTACACTGATCTCCTCTCCCTATTCAGTGTTTTCTCACAAACTGAATTCACCTCAGATCATCTCGATCCTTCTGGCAGTTTCCAAGGAAGTTCCCAAACTGGCAGGAGAAAACATGGTCATGAATTTCCAGCAGGAAATTTTCATTAAACTCAAAGGCACATGGAAATTGTTCCATTAATTGCCAGATACAGTCTAGGAACTGTGTGAAAATAGGGGATACTTCTTTAGAGTCCCCATCCAGGTGGCCACACCTAAGAGATACAAGTAAAGGTAAAGAAAGACAATGATTAACATCAGGGATTACACTGTTTGGAACAGGCTATAGCAAGGTCGCCTTCTGTTTCTGTGATGGAATTGGTAAGGAAATACGTAATGCCAAAATACCACTTAGAATCTCAAAGTTCATTAAGCCCAGTGGACCTCTTAGCCACCAGCAACTTTCACTATTATCCAGATTGTAAACCCTTTGGTCATCTATTTCCTTTTACATCCTCAACAATAGAACTTTCTACAATGATTGAAATGTTCCATATTTGTGCTGTCCAATATGGCAGTCACTATTAAGCACTTTAAATGTGGCTAGTATGACTAAGGAACTGAATTTTCAATTATATTTAATTTCAATTAATTTACCAGCTACATTTAGCTCCATGTGATCAAAGATCATATCTATGTTGTTTACTGGATAGTGCCCGGTGTAAAAATGAATGAAAAAATCTCATCCCAGAACTGTTTAATGTTTTCTCTCCCATGATACTCTTTCCCAACTCTACCATCCACTAGAAGCCCTAATCCACTGTAAACATACATGGCGTCCTTAGCTTCTACACTGAATGTTCTACCTTTTGATATAATTGAAATCTACCTCACCAAGGACACTGCTTCTTGGGGCCCAAATAAAATAGAGAAAGCTCATCATTCACTCTTCATGTATCATAATCCTAAAAGAAAGCTGAAGTGGGATCAATTTTCTCCTCGTTACCACTGCATTCAACTACTCCTTTTACTCTCTTAAAAATACTTCCATTATGGGTCATGCTCATTCATTTTCCTCAGTGTTGTCTTCTACAATATTTGGGCCACTTCTCTACATTTTCTGAAGAATCTGACTCCAGTTGTAAGTACTGATCTTTGGAGTAGATGCAGATAACCTACAATGGCTTAGACTCTTTAACTAACTAATGTACTTCACTGATCTTTACATCTACTTCACATCAGGCTTGTGTATCCATGACATCCATGTTTCCTGATGTTAGCTAAAGGTGCTTCCTCCACTTTGAAACCTTAATCTCAATAGCCTGCTCTGGTCATCACATATTATATTTCCAAACGCTGCTCATCTTACTTCATCCAGCCCTCATCTTTGGACCTCTCTACTTACCAGATTCCTCCTAGCTTCCTTACCACCCTATATTCTAGATCTGCTCCCATCAACTATTCTTTCCCCATTTTCTTCAAACTTTCTGGTCTTTTTTGTCATTATTTTCCTTCAAAATCCAACCACTGAGGAACAAACAAAGCTACGTTCTCTACTTCCACATCCTTACTGATGAATACTGCTTGAGAAAAATTTAAAACCAGGCAAATTGAGAACTTAAGTCTCCATACTCAGCTGAAACTTAATTGCTCCCAAGTAACTTTTATTAATGGGCTTCACTGATAGCTCACCTGGTAAAGAATCCACCTGCAATGCAGAAGACCCAGGTTCAATTCCTGGGTCTGGAAGATCCCTTGGAGAAGGGAGAGGTTACCCACTCCAGTATCCTTTGGCTTCCCTGGTGGCTCAAACAGTAAAGAATCGGCTTGCAATGCAGGAGACCTGGGTACAATCCCTGGGTTGGGAAGATCCCCTGGAGGAGGACATGGCAATCCACTCCAGTATTCTTGCCTGGAGAATCCCCATGGACAGAATCATCATAGACAGAGGAGCCTGGGGGCTGCAGTCCATAGGGTCGCACAGAGTTGGACACGATCAAAGCAACTAAACAGCAGCAGGAGCAACCTTTATGTATATCCTTAACACAGTTTTCCCATTAACCCTTACAGCTCATGCAAATTTTAAGCTATCTTCTGTAACCCTGACACATTTCACATTGATGTCTACAGTATCAATGAAAAAGAGGAAGGCCATCAAGTAAAAGTATATAACTTCTGCCTTTGACATTTACAAACTTAATTCCTTCTCCACCTGTCCTTCCATGTAGTCTCCACTGAAGAGGTGTTCTTAATTATCAGTTCAGTTCAGTTGCTCAGTCATGTCCAACTCTTTGTGACCATATAAACTGCAGCACACCAGGATCCCTGTCCATCACCAACTTGCTCAAACTCATGTCCATCGAGTGGGTGATGCCATCCAACCATCTCATCCTCTGTCGTCCCCTTCTCTTCCTGCCTTCAATATTTCCCAGCATCAGGGTCTTTTCCAATTAGTCAGTTCACATCAGGTGGCCAAAGTATTGGAGTTTCAGCTTCACCATCAGTCCTTCCAATAAATATTCAGGACTGATTTCCTTTAGGATGGACTGGTTGGATTTCCTTGCAGTCCAAGGGACTCTCAAGAGTCTTCTCCAACACCACAGTTCAAAAGCATAAATTCTTTGGCACTCAGCTTTCTTTATAGTCCAACTCTCACATCCATACATGGCTACCGGAAAAACCATATCTTTGACTAGATGGACCTTTGTCAGCAAAGTAGTGTATCTGCTTTTTAATATGCTGTTTAGGTTGGTTATAGATTTTCTATAGAGCAAGGACTTAATTTTCTTCTTAAAGGAGCAAGGATCTTTAAATTTCTTGGGTTCAGTCACCATCTGCAGTGATTTTGGAGCCCAAGAAAATAAGGTCTCTCACTGTTTCCATTCTTTCTCCATCTATTTGCCATGAAGTGATGGGACCAGATGCCATGGTCTTAGGTTTTCACATGTTGAGTTTTAAGACAGCTTTTTCACTGTCCTCTTTCACTTTCATCAAGAGGCTCTTTAGTTCCTCTTTGCTTTCTGCTGTAAGGGTGGTTCTTGGTTATACCTCAAGCTAAATGTTTTCATTTGGAAGGAAGATTTTATCTCTCTTTTATCCTAAGGAGTCATTCTATAAAACACCCACTATTTCTTTCAAATATTTAATCTTCTTTAAAATTTATTTATTTTTAATTGAATAACAACTGCTTTACAGTATTGTATTCGGCTTCTGCCATACATCAATATGGATCAGCCATGAGTATACATATGCCCCCTCCTTCTTGAACCTCCCTGCCACTTACTACTCGATCCCACCACTCTACGTTGTTACAGACCCCCAATCTGAGTTCTCTGAGTCATATAGCTAATTCCCATTGGCTATCTACTTTAAATTCCTATTGGTTATCCATGGGGTCACAAAGAATCGGACATGACTGAGCAACTGAACTGATCTATTTTACATATGGTAGTATATATGTTTCCATGTTACTCTCTACTTTCATCCCACCCTCTCCTTCCCCCCACCCAATGTCCATAAGTCTGTTCTCTACGTCTGCATTTCTTTTTATTCCTTGCAAATAGGTTCATCAGTACCATCTTTCTAGATTCCATATATATGTGATAATATATGACATTTGTTTTTTTTTCTCTTTCTGACTTACTTAACTCCGTATAATAGGCTCTAGGTTCATCCACCTCATTAGAACTGACTCAAATGTGTTCTTTTTTATGACTAATATTCCATTGTATATACACACCACAGCTTCTTTATCCATTCATCTGTCAATGGACATCTAGGTTGCTCTATATCCTACCTATTGTAAATAGTGCTGCAATGAAAATCAAAACCAAAATGAGGTACCATTACACACCAGTCAGAATGGCTGCTATCCAAAAGTCTACCAGCAATAAATGCTGGAGAGGGTGTGGAGAAAAGGGAACCCTCTTACACTGTTGGTGGGAATGCAAAATAGCACAGCCACTATGGAGAACAGTGTGGAGATTCCTTAAAAAACTGGAAATAGAACTGCCATATGACCCAGCAATCCCACTTCTGGGCATACACACCAAGGAAACCAGATCTGAAAGAGATACATGTACCCCAATGTTCATCTCAGTACTGTTTATAATAGCCAGGACATGGAAGCAACCTAGATGCCCATCAGCAGACGAATGGATAAGGAAGATGTGGTACATATACACTAAAGAATATTACTCAGTCAGTAAAAAGAATTCATTTGAATCATTTCTAATGAGATGGATGAAACTGGAGCCCATTATACAGAGTGAAGTAAGCCAGAAAGATAAACACCAATACAGTATACAAACGTATATATATGGAATTTAAAAAGAAGTTAACGATAACTCTATATGCAAAACAGGAAAAGAGACACAGATGTACAGAACAGACTTTTAGACTCTGTGGGAGAAGGCAAGCATGGCATGTTCAGAGAGAACAGCATTGAAAAAAGTATACTATCAAGGGTGAAACAGATCACCAGCCCAGGCTGGATGCATGAGACAATTGCTCAGGGCTGGTGCACTGGGAAGACCCAGAGGGATGGGATGGAGAGGGAGGTGGGAGTGGGGATCGGGATGGGGAACACATGTAGATCCATGGCTGATTCATGTCAATGTATGGAAAAAACCACTACAATAAAAAAATTGAAAAAAAAAAAGAATGAGAGCAACAATAAAAAAAAAATAGTGCTGCAATGAATATTTGGGTACATATGACTTTTTTCAATTTTGGTTTCCTCAGGGTATATGCTTAGTAGTGGGATTGCTGGGTCATATGGTAGTTTTATTCCTAGTTTTTTTAAGGAATCTCCATAATGTCATCTATAGTGATTGTATCAAATTACTTTCCTAGCAACTTTGCAAGAGGGTTCCCTTTCCTCCACATCCTCTCCAGCATTTATTGTTTGTAGATTTTTTGATGATGGCCATTCTGACTGGTGTGAGGTGGTATCTTATTGTAGTTTTGTTTTGCACAAATCTTCAATCTTATTTTTTAAAACTTTTTTTGCATGAAAGATTCTTTAAATCTATAGTGCTTTATAATTTTCACCAGTTTCAGACACATGATTTCATATAATTTCATAACCCTCTTAAAAATTTCCTACCCCTGTTTTATTCCTCTCTTTACCCCTCTTCCCTAGTTTCTTCCTAACCACTACTTTGTTCTCTATATCTGTGAGTCTGCTAGTTTTTTGTTATACTCACTAGTTTGTGAATTTTTAGATTCCACATACAAGTGATATCATACAGTATTTGTATTTCTCTGTATGACTCATTTCACTTAGCATAATGCCCTCCAAAGTCCATCCATGATGCTGCAAATGACAAAGTTTCACTCCTTTTTATGGCTGAGTAGTATTCCACTGTGTGTGTGTGTGTGTGTGTGTGTGTGTGTGTATAATGTATATATATATATTATCCATTCATCTATTGATGGACACTTAGGTTGTTTCCACACCTTGGCAACTGTAAATAATGCTGCTATGAACATGGGGGTGCATTGTATGTTTCTGAATTAATGCTTTTGTTTTTTCTCAGATATATACCCAAAAAGAAACTCAAAAAGAAACACAATAAATACTAACCAAGGATATGGAGAAAAGGGAAACATCCTACTTGTTTGTGGTAATATAAAATGGTGCAACCAGAGTGAAAAACAGCACAGAGATTTCTCAAAACCTAAAAATAGATCAACGTCATCTTCTTAATGTTCTAAGATACTACCAGTTCTAGGAATTTTCCTTTGCACAGAATGGATAAGGTTCCCTTGTAGCAGTTATCATACTATGTGTGTGTGTTAAGTCGCTTCAGTTGTGTCTGACTCTTTGTGACCATATGAACTGTAGCCCACTAGGCTCCTCTGTCCATGGGATTCTCCAGGCAAGAATATTGGAGTGGTTGGCATCCCCTCCTCCAGGAGATCTTCCCAACCCAGGGACCAAAACCTTATCTTTTACATCTCCTGCACTGGCTGGCCAGTGCTTTACCACTAGTGCTACCTGGGAAGCCCATATCATACTATGCTGTCATCACTGATTTTATTTTCTATAAAAGAAGGGACAGCAAACACATCTGGTCCAATACAGTCCCCTCAAAACCTGGCATACTGCCTGGACCAAAGTTTGTTGATAAAAGAAGAACAAATAGATGGACCCAAATAGCTAGAGAGTGGTAATCAAAGAAATTAAATGGATACACACCAATGTAGGATACTAAGACTTGAATAGCAACTTCTTTGGGGGTAAAACTCATATTTTATGTGCCTTTGTTATTAGCTCAGTGTCTCACATAGTTTACAGCATATTGTTAGGTATTTGGTAAACATCTTTTATTCTCATAACACACAAAGTCTCAGTGAGGCTGTCTGACTTATAGCAGCATTAGATCACTAAATAAATATAAGTCCTTGCATCCACCTCTTACCAAGGAACAGAAATGTGCAAATGCCTTTTTTATTATAAAAGATTAAAAGTTGCATTGCATTAGATATTACTCCCTCTACCTGAATGTTCACTGTTCTCTCTAGCAAACTCCTATTCAGTCCCTAAAATTCATCCTTAAATATTGCCTATTCCTGGAAGCCTATCTTGTGTTCTTCAAACACAGTTAAGCTCTTTTTCTTCTGTGGCCTGTGATGTCTATTCTTCCTTGAAATATTTAATGATTGGATATAATCATTTGTTTCACTTTGAAGGCAGATATAATAGTCTAGTTACACCTGTGTCCCTAGTTCCCTAGCATTGTGTATGGAATATGTGTTTCTTGATGAAAAGAGATTCATGCCATGTTCAACTTATTCTTCCTTCTTACACAAGAACATATCAGGGTTTTGATAAATCTCACCCTACTGAATTCTCCTTAGCTTCTACCTTTAAAATGAGGATATTTTTACCTTTGGGAAAACTTGTGGCCCATGCATATCCATTCCTTCTCTATCAGGATCTTCATTTTTATAGAAAAAGAAAACTTTGCATTAGAAAAATCATAAAATTAATTAATCATACCTATAAAGTATCAAAACACTTTGCTGAAGTGAACTTTGTACAAATTTGTGTTGAATAATCATAAAGTTAATTTCCCAAATGATAAATAAGTAATTTGGATTTCCTTTAAAGGACTATAAAGGCTGTCTTCAAATTTCAAAGCTCTCAGGAGAAATAATTCTGGATTTGTACTCACTGTCATATTTGCTTTGGCTTTTACATAATGTGTGACAGGACATATGAGTCATAACTAAATCTTGATAAACTTATTAAATTCAACCTATGAAGAAACAGGAATCCAAAGGCAGTATTTGAGTTTGTACCAAGAACAAATCTTGGTATAAATGCATTTCAACCATTAAAAACTATAAAGCACTTTCAAAAGAAAAATGAGGATAAACTCCTACTGTAAGTTCTGTTTCATAGAAAGACAAAGTAAAAAGTGTTCAATTCAGCACCAGAAAACAATCATGTGTCTGACATCAAGATAGCTGACACTGAAGATGATGAGCCCATCAGTTTGCTTATTTAACAACCATCCAGTAAACTTTGTTAACTTTTTGAGTCTTTCCTTTACCTTGCACCAAACAGCCTATTATATCCAACTTATGTTCTGATGGGTAAGAAACTATGTTGAGTGTGCAGTGGAAATTATGTAGACTGTAAATGCCTACTTTAGTGGAAAGAAGCTAAACTGAAAAACAGAGCTGTTTTTGTAGACCTCTTTCTTATAGAAAACAAGTTGGTTTATGTTTGATCTATTCATAATCGCCTCTTGTGCAAGGTAAAATCCAATCACTGCTCTCTTACCATGAGTCCTTTGAATGTCCTATAAAATGGATCTAGGAGGATGCTGGCCACAGAGCAGACTTGTGCTGTACGGTCCCACCCATCAGAACAATGGACTAAGACATTGGTCTTTTCTACCTTCACTGCCTGTAAAGACAAGAGGCAAAAAGTAGCATAAACAACTTTTACATAGCATGCCAGGTTAATTATATACAGTTACCATCAATACAGCAGAGAACTTGGTCTTAACTGGGCTACATTAATTTCTTCTCATAATATGGGTATCCTATATAAGGAATGACCTTGGAAAAGGAAATGGCAACCCACTCCACTATTCTCTGTCCATAGGATTGCCTGGAGAATCAGAGGAGCCTGATAGGCTATAGTCCATAGGGTTGTGAAGAGTAAGACACAACTGAGCATGCACACATGGGGAATGAAAAAGAAAATAAAGAAATGTAACAGAAGGTGAGCTTACCTAGTAGGAAAAGAAAATCAAAACCAACACATGATATGTGTAAAAAGAAAAACAAAAGAAGATCTACATTTATAAAACTTCCAAAGAAGACATGGATCAATTATTAGAGAGAGGAGTGGGCAAGAGGAAGAATTCACGCTCAAAAACAGGACAGTTCTGCATCTCAGTCCCAGACCTGACAGTAATTTGCTTCGGAATCTTTAGCCATTTAGTCTTACTAATATAAATACTTCTAACTTATGGTGGAGAGGTTTGCCTGTCTTAGGTAAGTTTCTATATAATCAGAATGATGTAAAAATATGGGCAGTTACTCAACCTGAGCAATTTTGGCAATGGGAGCTATTGAGCATTCACTTATTCATTCTAGCACTTAATTATGTATCCCTCTATGTCATGTATATGCTAAGGATTAGAGATACAAAGATGAGACTCAGTTTCTGCCTTCAATGAGCAAACTATTCAGGATTACCAAAGGTAAATAAATACAATGCAGTGGAAAAACTGATGCTATAGGGTAATGGAGCCTTTTGTAGGACCCAGGGAAGCTTGAGCCTTGAAGAAAATGTAGGATTTTCTCAGGTGAGGAAGAAGAAGGTCATTTATTCACTCATTCATTCATCTACTCACCTAGCCAATAACTACTGAGTGACTATACAAGATGCATTATAGTGTGCACTGGGGATACAAAAAAGACAAACATTTAAATGAATGACTACAAACCAATGATAACTAAAACAATGAAAGTTAACACCAGATACAACAAAGGCACATAATAACTAAAGAAGAGGAGACAACTAAAGTGGGCCTTGTCAGATGAGTAGACATTTGTCAGATAGACCAGGAGGAATGGATATTCCACGCAGGGGGCATAATCTGACAATATTTACAAAGGCAAGGAGGCATGGCATAGGTGAGGAATTATTAACTAGCTTGGTGGTTGAGGCTACACTAAAAGTGAGGGTGTGAAGAGAGACAAGTCTGGCCAGGAGGGCAAGGTTCAGACTGACAAGTGTGCACTTTATCTGGTGGCAATAGGGAGTCCCTGGAGTGTTAAAAGCAGGGAAGTGCCATGATCAGATGTACTCACTATGGTGACAATAAGGAGAATAAGAGGAATAAGTTTGAATTTAGAAAGATCAGTCAAAAAGCCACTAAAATTGTGAAAGGCAATATGCACCTGAATAAAGGCGGTAGCAGTGGGGCTGAAAAGGATAAGAGGGATATTAAGAATAAAATTTTAATAGGACATATTGAGAGAAGAGATGTGGGATGAAGGAGAGGGAAAAGTCAAAAATGACTCTTAAATGTGTCATTTAGTAATAACTAAGTGGATGACAATACCATTAGCCTGAACTAAACACAGAGGAAGAAACAAGTTTTAGTTAGTGTTCAGAGTAGATAAGGTTTCATTTGAGGCCATGGAGAGTCTGAGGTAGTTGGGGGATGTCCAATGGGGCATTCAGTGGACAACTGTATATGTGGGTCTGGAGTCCAGGATAACGAGGAAACTGAGCCAGAGTATAGATGTGACCACAATATGAATAGAGATCATAAGTGGAAACTGCATGGCTGGTGCTGTCCACACAGAGACCACAGTGAGAAAAGGAAAGACCTTAGAAAGCAGTAACTTTTATGGGGAAAGTAGAGGAAGGAAAGGGCTATTAAAGGAGTCAGCTTGTGAAAAAGCCTGAAAGGTAGAAAAAGAACCAGGAAATAGTAGTTGGATTAAGGCCAGGACTACAAAAATGGTTCAAAGAGAATGGGGATAACAATGCCAAATGCAGCAGAGTGGAGAAAACAGAACAAAGGTTAAAGAGTGACCTTGAGATTGACAAGTTAGGGGTCATTAGAGAACTCAGCAAGAAGAGTACTAATGGTATGGAAGGAAACTGGATTATAGTCAACTGAAGAGTGAAGGGATGTGAGCAAGTGCGAGTAAGGAAGGTCAATTACTTTCAAGAAAGCTCTAAGCAAGAGGAAAGAGAACAGTAAATAGAAGAGGATAAGAAAAATTCTTTTCTTAGGAATAAGAAAGTATTGAGTTGACTTCCCTGGTGGCCGAGTGGTTAAGAATCCACCTGCCAATGACAAGGACATGGGTTCAATCCCTGGTCTGGGAAGATTCCACATGCTGTGGGGCAACAAAGCCTGTGTTTCACAACTACTGAAGCCCTAGAGCCTGTTCTGCCCAAGAGAAGTCACCACAATGAGAAGCCCATGCACTGCAAGTAGAGTAGTTCCCTTTCACTGCAACTAGAGAAAGTCCTCACAGCATCAAAGACCCAGTGTAGCCTCCCTCCCCCCAAAAATTGTTGAGCATATTTCTGAGGGATGAAGCCAGTGAAGGAAAAGGTTAAAAATGTAAGAGAGGTGGGAATGAAAATATAGGGGTAAAAGTTTCCTTGAAGAAGAAGGGGATGGAATTAAGAATATAGGTATGAGGCACCATTTCCTCTAAGATAGCAAGGAAGGAGCAAAAAATAGTTGTGTGGGAAGATGAGAGACTACCTTTATTTTTTATAAAGATGGAGACAAGTCTGAATATGTGCTTATAGAGAGGAAAATAACAGTGTTATAGCCAGCTTGAAAGTAAAATACGTATTAGAAATATCTGCTTGGTGGAACAGGGCTGGGATCCAACCAATATTATGCACCATAAACTCAATACAAATTAACATGGCTATGGGATTTATTCCTTTGTAGCACTGTTTAGTAGTCAGGATATAAAAGCAGAGAAAGCAGAGAATGAATGAGATTAGCAGGGTAGGTAGAATGGAAGGAAAAAGAGGCAAGGTAGAATTGATGAGGTGCTACACCACTAGGTCTTGGCCTCATAGGGAAGAAAGTAGGAAAAGGTGGAAAAAAATGGAGTTTAAAAGTGCAGAGGTCTTCATGGGACAGAAAAACCAGGTTAGCTGGAGTAAAAGTATGAGAACTGGGGTATAAAAGTTCAAAGAACTATATCAGTGCTGAGTATTTTATAAGTTTGTACATGGACATTCAAATCTCCCGGGATTGAGAGGAGAAAAGAGAGCCACTAGGAGAAGTATAGAGCAGAATAGCTAATTGAATCAGACCTAAAAGGAGGAACAAGTTTTGTAAAAAGCAAGGGGAATATTGAAACTGCCATGGACTGTGAGGTTCAGGGGTGTGGGAAAATGAGTAACCTCTGTAATAGACTGTACAAAAAAATGATATTCCTAGAAAAATAGTTAGGTTGCAAGACAAGAATTACAGAAATCTGGAAAAAAGTTCTCAACCTTTTAAACTTCCCAGTTAACCAAACACCTCAGGTAGTATCAGAGGCCTATAGCAGCTACACTCTTTCCTTAGGGCTTGACATGGAGTGAAAAGTCACTGGTAAACAGGAAAAGATGTTTAATTTCACCAATGATTAAAGAAGTGCAAATCAAAACAAGACAGAAAATGCATTACCTATCAAACTAGCAAAGATTAAAAAGACTGATGATAACCATTGCTGGCTATGTAGAGAAAGAGGCATTGTTGGTGGGAATGGAAACTGGTGTAACCTAGTTGAAGGGCAATTAGGCCACATCTAATAAAGTCTGAAATATTCATACTCTTCAACTGAAAATCCACTTTTAAGAATGCCGACACATATAAAGAAATATGTTCAAGGCTATTTGATACAACAATGTCTGCATTTGTAAAAAATGTGAATAACTGAATTGTCCATTAACAGGGACCAATATTTTAAGCCAGAGGCTATAAATCTCATCTCCAACTGAGAAAATGGCAGAAGAGAGGTGAAAAGTGATTCTCTCCTTTCTTCACTTCTACCAAATAATAGGGGTGGGGTGAAGAGAGCATGTTCTCATGTAGGAATGTATAAACATTTCAAAATGAGAAAATGTACACTCCAAATTTCTTCTTTTTTTAACATCACCTAATAAATGAAATTCAAATATTCACTTAATAGAATAGTACTGATTGAACTGACCTAGAAAATATTTATATATTAAGTATATTAATATATAAATATATATATATATATTATATATATTATATAAATATATATAGATTAATTAGTATATATTAAGTATAAAAAGTTAGTTGCAGAAAAATATGCACAACATAATCTTACTTTTACAAAGTAGTAATAATAGTAATATATATATAGTTATAATTCTTTACCAAGTGAGATATCAGGGAAGCCCTATATATAATTATATATGCTGAAAATCTAGACCTGCACTGTGCCATATGGTAGTCACTAGCCACAAGTGGCTATTTAAATTTAAACTAATCAAAATTGAATAAAGTTTTAAATTCCTTACTCTCGCTAGCCACATTTCAAGTATACAACTGCCACATGTGGCTAGTGGCTATTGTATTAGTACAGATCCAGAACATTTCCAACATCACATGAATTGGGCAGCACCCTCTCACTCAGTCATGTCTGACTCTTTATGACTCTAGGCTCCTCTGTCCATGGAATTTTCCAGGCAAGAATACTGGAGCGGGTTGCCATTTCCTGCTCCAGGGGATCTTCTCAATCAGGGATCAAACCCAGGTCTCCTGTAATGCAGGCAGATTCTTTATCTTCTAAGCCACAAGGGAAGCCATCAACACAGGAAGTTCAAATAGTGCTGATCTAGAGGCATACATTAAACTATTAACAGTGATGCATATATTGTGGGGGCAAACTACAGGGAATATACACATTTTATGTTATATACTTCTGAATTGTTTACTTCTTCTACAATGTACATGTATAACTTTTATAATGAGAAAAATAAATAAAGATAATGAGAGACAAAGAGAGAGGGAGGGACACTATAGTGTTTTTGAGAACAACAAGATTTCATGATTGCCAGGGTCTTGTGGGCAATGGGGAGTCATTGGAGGATTTTGAGTTTAAAGTGACATTATCATATTTGCTCATGAAAGATGACTTTAGAATCAATTTGGTGGCCAAACTGGGGAGCAATTACTAGAGACAAGTAAACCAGTCAGAAAGATATAGTACTTAAGGCAGAGGCTGGAAAGAAAGGATAGATTTGAGAAACACTTGAGGATAGCTGACAGGATGAGGCAATTACCAGATGGAGGGGAACAGAGAAAATTCAAGGCTGACTTTTTCAAGCTGGGGATATATAGGTATTTATGGAGATGGGAAGCACAGGATAATTGTACAAACGCGAGCCTATCTTTGTTTCATCCATTCATTTTAATTCACAAATGGTTATGAGGTTGTACTACCTATCAAATCTATTCCTCTTCTCTATTCTCACTCTCTTTGGTCTCATGAAGTCAGTTTCAGAAAGGAAATACAAATGTATGGGTATAGGACATGCAAAAAAGGAACAGTATAAAGAATGACTAGAATAATGGGTTTGGAATGACCTAGGGGGCTCACAGAGTAAGCACTAATATATCATAATGAAAAATGTAGGCAATAGGACTAGAAAATTGAAAAACATGAGGACTAGATATTTAAGATAGTTAAATACACACACTCTTAAAAACCTTTTAAGGCAGAGGCTATAAATCTCATCTTCAACTGAGAAAATGGCAGAAGAGTGGTAAAAGTGATTCTCTCCTTTTCTTCACTTCTACCAAATAATTGGGGTGGGGTGAAGAGAGGAAGTTCTCGTGTAGGAATATATAAACAAAATTTCAAAATGAGAAAACGTACACTCCAAATTTCTTCTTTTTTTAACATCACCTAATAAATGATACAGAAGCCAGGATTCTGAAGATCAGAAAGTAAGTGACTCAGCATAAATGAGTGATGAAGTCTACTTAGACTGCATTCAGAGGCAGACCTATACAAAGACATCAGAAAGCTCAGCTTTATACTCAGAGCTCTGAAAACCCATAGAACCAAACTGCATTTATTTTATACCCAGTCTTACTTCCACTTGGTACCTTAGAATCAACACAAAGATACATCAGAGTATTTGAGTTGGAAGGACCATGAGATATTATTTAAGAGTTTTTTAACCAGAGATCTGAGGTCTGTATACTTTCTGAAATTAAGGTCTGTTTTCTGTATGCATAGCCATATGTACATTTTTTTCCAGGGGAGAGGGTCAATCACATTGTCAAAGAGTTCAGTACCCACCCCCCAAAAAAGTTATGTCATTATATTCTAGTCTAACCATCTTGCTTTACAGAGGATGATATTTAGAGAAGGAAAGAGACTTGCCAAGGGCACACAGTAAATTAGTGGCAGACCTCAATCTAAAAACCAGGTGTCTTTTTCTTATATTCTTTCCATGATAAACTGCTACTTTAAGAGATCCCATAATTATGTCAGTGCAAGTTCTTTAAAGTCCTGATTATTACCTTTGCAATGAAAATTCCAGCATCCATAATAGCTTTAATGTGTCTCAACCACCCTGAGCTCTCCAGGCCGCTAAGAAATTCACTCATTGTTGGAGTTTTCAATTCACAAACTAAGGTAGAAAAGGAAGCAGAGATTGAAATTCACAATTACCTCAGTTTATTCAACAAGAAAGGGGACAAAGTGGATCCCCATTTCGTAAATGAGGAAGCTGAGGCACAGAAAGTTTAAATAATTAGTTGGAAATCACACAGTGAATCAGGGACAGTACTAGGACTAGAGTCTACCATATCTCCTAGTTTGGTTTTCTGCTTTCTCAAGTCCATAGAATCCACCCCCAAGACCACAGAAATCTCTAAAGAAGAGAGACAGAAGACTGAGTTATTATCCACAAAAAAATACTCATATCTCCTGCTATTAGAAAACACATTTGATCCCCATTCTAACTCCTCCTACTCTTCCTAACTCTGTAGCCCTTAACATCTGTCTCTACTTCCACATCACCATCTACTCCCTTACAGTTCTGTGCTGTCTCAACAGTTGAAAAAAATTATTTTAATTTTCATGCATTTTGCACTGGTTATCCAACAGAGGGCAATCTTTTGCCTCAAAATAAATCTGCAAAAGGTTCTCTTCTACTATACAATATTCTGGGACAAAAAAGAAAGGAGGAAGAGACCTAAGGAAGAGGAATCCTAATATCCTAAAAGGGCTGCAGACTGAGGAGACAGGATCTGATAAGGGTCATGAGAAGGAGAGGTCCTGGCAGACAGTATAAGTAAAAATTGAGGAAAGGAAGAACAGGGACTTCACTTAAGGAGGGCAGGTTTTCCCCAATGTGTGCCTGAGATGACATATCACATCATGGATTCCTGGATAGTGGCTTTGGGAGAAATGTTCTAGACTCAAGAGTCCTGTGAGGCCCTGATCTCACCTAGTCCCCATTCTGATCCCAATTATTTTGCAGCTATGACAGATGACCCATTGCTTGATAGCAGCTTTATTCCTTTGAAGTCTAAATTCACCCCCTTTATCAGCACAGTTATGAAACTGGACTGACTCTTTATAGCAGATTAAATGAGGAACATGAAATAAATCCCAAATTCACTTATATTTGTGTTGATCTACCCACCTCTACATAGCATTCTCTATAATTTTATACAGATACATTATTTCCATAGCAACTAAACCCAGATGGACTCCACAGAGTTATGAAACTAAATATTGTAGTTCCTTTGTCAGACCAACACTGCTATAATTCAATACTATTTATGCAAACTGGATTCGTAATATAGTCAAAAATCTTATCACCTATTGATTCGGCTCTCCTGGTTGCTTTTATATTTCACCCCAAAATCAGACATACTTTTTGCTTACATAATTATGTGATCTGTTTAGACTCTGGCCTAGCCCAGGTGAAATCCCTGTACCTTCCAAGAGTTTCTGCAGGCTGTTCCGCATGACATGGATGTTCTCAATGCTCATGAACCTGAAGCGAATATTGGCATAGTTGTCTTCATTTTCATACCCCTTCCCAGCTGCTCGGTTAGCCAAGGCATTTAACTGCAATATTGAGAACATAAAAGAACAGATAGAGCAGATGATGAAAGAACATGGTTTGTCAATCTCAATGCTTCATTCTAAACAGTTTTAAATCTTACCCATTTAAAAAGAAGTCAGATCAGATACAGCACATTCTGGAATGAAGAGAATTTCATTGGCATTTAGATAAGGTATTTTAAGTAACAGAATAGTACAGGGAAAGATAAGGTATTTTTAGTATTTTTATTTTATTTAGTATTTTTATTTCTTATTTATTTTATTTATTTATTTTAATTTATTTTAACACTGTGAGTGCTCCCCACACACTCCACGAGCGGGGGCAAACCCATTGTGGCCGAAACACTGTGAGTACTCCCCACACACGCCAGTGATATTTGTCTGCAGCGCCCCTCCCTCCCTGCAGCACAACTGAACAAGCGGACCTAAACAAGAGACCACCTCTGCCCACTGTGTCAGGGCAGAAATCAGACACTGAAGAGACCTGCAAATAGAAGCCAAATAAACAAAGGGAACCGCTTTAGAAGTGACTGGTGCAACAGATTAAAATCCCTGTAGTTAACACCGACTACACTGGAAGGGGCCTATAGATATCGAGAAGTGTAAGCTGGAACGAGGAGCTATCGGAAACTGAACCGAACCCACACTGACCACAACAGCTCCAGAGAAATTCCTAGATATATTTTTCCTTAATTTTTTTTTCTTTTCTTTTTTCTCTTTTATTTTCCTTTAAAATTCCCTATTACTCCTCCATTACTCCTTAACTTTCATTTTCATATATTTTTACTATTTTTTTAATTAGAAATTTTTTCTTTTTTTCTTTTTTTTCTCTTATTTGCTTTTAAAGTCCTCTATTACTCCTTAATTTTCATTTTCATTTCACTATAACCTCAGGAAAAAAAAAAAGAAGAGGCCCTATTTTTAAATCGAACTTCATATATATTTCTAAAATTTTTTGTGTTTTTGTTTTTAATATTGTATTTTTAAGAGTCTAACCTCTACTCTAGATTTTTAATCTTTGTTTTTCAGGATTTGATATCAATTTTGGACATTTAAGAATCCAATATTCAGTTCCCATTTTTATTCAGGAGTGTGTTGATTACTCTCTCCCACTTTTGACTCTCCATTTTCTCCCTCAGATCACCTCTATTTCCTCCCTCCCCCTTCTCTTCCCAATACAATTCTGTGAATCTCTGTGGGTGTCTGGGCTATGGAGAACACTTTGGGAACAGACAACTGTGTAGATCTGTCTCTCTCCTCTTGAGTCCCCCTTTTTCTCCTCCTGCTCATCTCTATCTCCCTCTTCCCTCTCCTCTTCTTCATGTAACTCTGTGAACCTCTCTGGGTGTCCCTCAAGGTGGAGAATCTTTTCATCATTAACCTACAAGTTTTATTATCAGTGCTGTATAGTTGGAGAAGTCTTGAGACTACTGGAAGAATAAGACTGAAAACCAGAGGCAGGAGAATTAAGCCCCAAACCTGAGAACACCAGAAAACTCCTGACTACAGGGAACATTAAGTAATAAGAGACCATCCAAAAGCCTCCATACTTACACTGAAACCAACCACCACCCAAGAGCCAAAAAGTTCCAGAGCAAGACATACCATGCAAATTCTCCAGCAACGCAGGAACATAGCCCTGAGCGTCAACATACAGGCTGCCCAAAGTCACACCTAACACATAGACCCATCTCAAAACTCACTACTGGACACTCCATTGCACTCCAGAGAGAAGAAATCCAGTTCCACGCACCAGAACACCGACACAAGCTTCCCTAACCAGGAAACCTTGACAAGCCAATCATCCTACCCCACCCACTGGGTGAAACCTCCACAATAAAGAGGAACCACAGACCACCAGAATACAGAAAGCCCACTCCAGACACAGCAATCTAAACAAGATGAAAAGGCAGAGAAATACCCAACAGGTAAAGGAACATGAAAAATGCCCACCAAGTATTTATTTTTTTTAAATTTATTTTATTTAGTATTTTTATTTGATTATTAAAACCCAGCCTAAGAGATTGATTGAAGGATATGGCAGCTTATGAGGATGTCTGATCTGAAGAACTAAAATAATAATTTTGAGTTTCCTATCACAAACAACATTCTAAGTAGAATATGTTAACTTGTAGATTTTTTTTCTGCATGTGTTAATGTGAATAGTTTGTGTTTTTGAGGTTTCAATGTCATTGAATGTTTTCTCACCAGAAAGGGCTTTATATTGAGAAAAAAATCTTTATAATTGAGAAGTTCAAAAGTATTTATAACTGAGAAGCTCTAGAAAGAAGTCTAAGAACTTCAGGGCCAATTATAAAGAACTACTGTAGAAAAATTTCTAAAATATGACTTCATGAGATACATGACTTTCACTCATTGATAAAATTGAAATGGAGCTACCAAGGGCCATTTTAACACTATATTCAGCTGTTATAATCAGAATACTTGTAGGTCATATGAAGAATGTTGGGTGGGGTAGTGAGTAAATGAAACTCGCAGAGAGGAGACATTAATTGAAAAACTAGAAAGAAGCCAAAATACCTTCTATGATGATGACCATCTTACTAATGTTGTCTGGGCCTATTTTCTAATCTCCCATTACTGTGCATTCAGAAGGTAGGAGGAGCATGTATATGGATAGGGTGTAATTTCTGTAGTAATAAAAACTTTAAGAATACCGTTGAAACCTCAAAAACACAAACTATTCACATTAACACATGCAGGAAAAAATTCTACAAGTTAACATATCCTACTTAGAATGCAAGATATTCGTTAAATGGAAAAACGATGGTAATTCTGATTTCTTATCACACAATGTCACTGAGCTTTCATTAAACTAATGACAAACATTAAAGGGACACCTCAGGAGGTGTAAGCAACAACCACCTAGTAACAAGAAAGTTTATTAAGATTGATGGATGCATTTACAAATTAAACAATAATTATAGTAGTCCCTACCCCAGTTTGGGCAGCAGCAAAAAGGCCAGTCACTACAGATAGCTAGCTACATCATACCACTACGCACTCTCTGGAAATAGGTCTGGCATATCTGAGAAACTGCTACGTATTAGCAGACTAATGTTCAAGTAGGAAAGAATATATAATATTTGCTGAACCCCTAGTATGTGTATACTAGATACTGTGCTAGATCCTTCACATATATTATCTCATTTAATCCTCAACAAAAGCCACTAAAGATAGGTACTTTTATTATTCCCATAAGAAGATGAGTTCAGAGAGGTGAACCACTTTCAACCAGAATCATATGGATAAAAGCTGAAGGCAAGGTCTGAACCCAGATTTGATCAACTCATAAGGATGGAACTTTGTCACCACAATACTGTTTCTAATAAAAGTATAGATCTAGCCGTCCAGAAGAGGAGTGTTGCTAGATATTTGTATGTCCTCTGAGAGAGGAAAAATGGACCTATTAAAAAGGACTTTTGAGGAACTCCCCTGGTGTTCCAGTGGCTAAGACTCCATGCTGCCAAAGCAGGGGGCCCAGATTCAATCCCAGATCAAGGAACTAGATTCCACATGCCACAACTAATCATTTGCATGCCACAACTAAAGATTCCTGGATAAGGAAATGGCAACCCACTCCAGTATTCTTGCCTGGAAAATCCTATGGACTGAGGAGCCTGACAGGCTACAGTGAAGGGGCTCAGAAAGAGTCGGACACGACTGAGTGTGCGCGCGCTCACACACACACACACACACACACACACACACAAAGGATTCCACATATATCAACAAAGGTCAAAGGTCCCACATGCCGCAACTAAGACTTGGTACAACAAAATAAATAAATAAAATACACTTAAAAAAAGAGTGAATTTTCGATCTTTCATTTGGACAAAGGGCACCACTTCTTTAGTTTTTCAAAAGCTTGGTACTTCTCTTTACCATTTTAAGATTAATAATGGTGAAAGACACAGATTTGATTAAACTTTTTCTAACCCCTGAATGTCAAATGCAGTTTTAGTTGAAGCAAGACACCAAATTTCTGAGAAACTGAAGGATGGTTGTTGTTCAGTTGCCCAGTCGTGTCCTACTCTTTACTATGCCAGGCCTCCCTATTCCTCACTATCTCCCAGAGTTTGCCAAAGTTCATGTCCATTGCATCGGTGATTCCATCCAGCCATCTCATCCTCTGATGCCCTCTTATCCTTCTGCCTTCAATCCTTCCCAGCATCAGGAACTTTTCCAATGAGTCGACTGCTTGCATCAGGTGATCAAAACACTGGAGCTTAAGCTTCAGCATCAGTCCTTCCAATGAGTATTCAGGGTTGATTTCTGTCAAGATTGACTGGTTTGATCACCTTGCTGGCCAAGAGACTCTCAGGAGTCTTCAGCACCACAGTTTGGAGGCATCAATTCTTTAGCACCCTGCCTTCTTTAGGGTCTAGCTCTCATAACTGTACCTGACCACTAGGAAGATCATAGCCTTGACTATACAGACATTTGTTGGCAGAGTGATATCTCTGTTTTTTAACACACTGTCTAGGTTTGTCATCACTTTCCTGCCAAGAAGCAATCGTCTTCTGATTCCATGGCTGCAGTGAAAATCCACAGGGATTTTAGACCCCAAGAAAAGGAAACTTGTCACTGCTTCCACCTTTTCCCCATCTACCTGCCATGAAGTAATGGACATTGACATCTTAGGAATCAGTGAACTAACATGGACGAGAATGGGCAAATTTAACTCAGATGAACATTGTATCTATTACTATGAGCAAGAATCCCATAGAAGAAATGAAGTAGCCCTCAAAATCAACAAAAGAATCCGAAATGCAGTACTTGGGGGCAACCTCAAAAATGACAGAATGATCTCAGTTTGTTTCCAAGACAAGTCATTCAACATCACAGTAATTCAAGTCTATGTCCCTATCACCGATGCTGAAGAAGCTTAAGTTGAACAGTTCTATGAAGACCTAGAAGACCTCCTAGAACTAACACCAAAAAAAAAAAAAAAAAAAGATGTTCTATTCATTACTGGGGAT